GCGGTGAGCCTGCTTGCGGCTCGGCTTCGGGGGAGAGGCGCTGTGCCCTCCCCAAAGCAGCGCTCGCATCAGCTCTTGCATACGGCGACGGAAAGAAGCTGTCGCAGAAAACACCGGTCAAACAAGCTGTCGCAGAAAACACCGGTCAACCGTTGCAAAAAACACCGGGCAACCGTCGCAAAAAACACCGGGTGGCGGTCACTGATGCAAAAAACACCGGTCACAGCTTGGAAAAACACCATACAACATAACTGTCTGGAAATACCCTGATTACTGTTGCAATTTACCCTAGTCCCATTGCAATTGCTTCAAAAATAACATTCATGGAGCACAACAATCTCCTTCTCACGGCAAACAGCGAAACCCAAGACCCGGCAATAGCCTCCAACAATGTAACACTGCACAACCCCAACATGGCCACCCTGGCCGTTACAACAATGAGAGGCCACAATCGCAATGTTGAGCCCCGTATCATCCCTTTTTCACCATCGAGCTCGATGCCACAGAATCTGGCTGTTGTCTGATTTCTGAACTCCTTCTTCAAGTTTACCTCTAGGCGTTGCTGCTCGTAGGCTGCCAAAGCTTTGTCCAGCCGAGAGTCAGCCTGCGAGCGCATCCGACCCTGAGAGACCGCAAGATGGTCCCTTCTGATCATTTTCTCCAGCAACACTAGGTCGTCGATTATGACGCCGACACTCATCAGGCCTCTTGGAACATCTCCTTGCAGCGATATCATCTCATCCGCCTGCAAAACTCCCGCGCGCAACATGAGCGCCAAGTGGGAACATTGTGCAAACTCGCAGGCATTGAGGTCACCCATAGCCAAGGTGGATAACCCGCAGTAAACTGGCGGCTCCCAATCGTGAGGCAGGGAGTCACCAAAAACAAACTGGGCATGCTTGAGCGACAATGGGTCTGCCAAAGCATTGCGCACTACTCGTTCTTTTCCCACTTTAAACTGGTAGAAAAAGTCTCGCAAATCCTCACCAGAAGCGGCCAAAACATACTCCGGCTCGATAAACAAGTCGGCCAACACAGCCGCGGAAGCCATGCTTCTGCACCATTTGCCCAAAGCTCTATCAGCTAGATTGGCAGGTCGTGCATCAAGGATCAGCCTGTCACGAGTCAGAGATTTCGGCACTGCAAATAAGCCGGACAAGTATCCGGCCCGGACTGAGGACTTGTGCAGCGGTTGCAATCGCCCAGTGAGATGCAGCTTGCGAAGGAGGGCAAGCTTGTTCTCTTGTGTGGCTCTGATGTGCACAGTTGGCGGAGTTTCCGTCAGCTCCACGGCCGTCTTCATGGTCTGTAACGGTGAGGTGTAATAAACTTCGGCTGTGGCGTGATCAAGTAAAGGGACCGGGTCAAACCGAGGAGGAGGAGGCAACTCGATCCTAGTCAGCAACAATCGGCTTGGCAGGGCTCGCATTCATCTTCGGCAGCGAACCCACTGCTGTACCACTCAACAAAGGAGAATTTGTATCGAATTCCGGTTTTGTAACGGAGTGACCAAAGTAAAAAGATTGTTCCATGCCGTCACAAGCCATAGCCCTATGCAATGCAGAGAGAGCATCTTCGTATCCCTCAACCTTGGAAGCGCTACGACCCATGAGGTCTGCAATGAATTCAATGCTGTTGCTATCCCAGTTGGAATGCCTCAACGTTGAAACAACTGTCCACTGCTTTGCAGTCAACTTGGCTCCCAGCCTCAAGCTCTTAGGCGCCACTCTGGGCGAGCCGAGCACGAACCAATCCAAGACGACAATCTGTAGCGACAGGAGTCGTTTTCGCCACAGACCAGCACGGCTCGACTGAGCAGAAGAACAAAAGGCTTCAGGGTAGGGCACTGGAATAGGCCACAAAGAGGCTCCAGCTGGCATAGTGGCATCGCTGTGCGCGATGCGTGGGCTTTGGAGGATGCTACGCAAAAAAACCCTGCAGATCACATCTTGTTTGTAGTAACCAGCGAGGCAATGAATTCACAACTGCTGCAACTCTCACTGACGAAGCTCTCATGCCCGGAACTGTTGCACTGTTTTGCAAGGCAGGCTGAGGTTCTCCGCCGAGTTCGAGCTGACTTGTATTCACTCGGGGGTTGCAGTGTTGTCCCCCTTCTTCTGGGGACGGCTTTTTGGCTTTCGTTTGGGCGATGGTCTGTCGTCGCCACTGGTCTCTTCCTTCTTGCTTCCCTTCTGTTGCAGCTTGCGACGCTTCTCCAGGTAATCGTCCGTATCCTTCAGAAACGCCAGAGCTACCTCCGACCATCGAGGGTCCAACAGTTTGGAGAACGGCTGCTCTCCCATGCTGACATCCGGAGGGCTGTGAGTTGCAAGGACTGCGAACGGAGGGAGCGGCTCGAGGCTGAGAGTCGAGGCGAGCTGCCACGACCCGCGGTCGGCCGCCACCTGATCCAGCTGCAACAAGAGGAGGTTGGCACGAGCTCGCGCCTCCTCCACTCGGCCTCCCGCAAGAGCGTCGATGATGCCGCTCGTGCCCCAAGCCGCATGCGCGAGTGTCTTGTACTGCCCGATGTAGGAGCGATGCTCGGTCCAAGCCCTGGCCGACCAACCGGTCGACGGCATGCCAGGAGTCTTGGTGCGTCCCATGAGGTCTTCCTCCATGTTCTTCTCGATCATGTGGTAGATCTCGTGAGGCGAACTGGACAGAGCCTTCATCAACGCCCTGCGGGCAATGCTTGAGCGCTTTCCTCCGCCACTGCTGACTGACTCGCCAGACCCATGGACTCCGTCCAACACGGAGTCTAATGCAGGCTTCTTCTTCTTCTCTTTGTCGGCTGCCAGAGTGGCCACGATGGATGTGAGCTGACTCACCGCGGCAACCATAGGATCTTTGGGCATAGAACCATCCTGATTTGTGGTTGTTCGTCTTCCGATTCTGAGAGGTGAGCCTTCTTCTGGGGGGCGTTCTTGGGCTCTTTGAGTTTCTTCGCACCTGCCGACTGAGCTGACGCCATCATGGCTTGCATCTCGTCCAAGACTTTGGTTCCGACTCCAGCTTGTAGGGCCGAGCGGACAACCGCCTGATCCAACAACGGGTAGGCGGTAGCCCCCCCGAGGAGGCGGCTCCAGCGCTGTTGGAGATGGCTTGGTGGATGTTGTCGCCCCCTTGGCTGATGCAAGGGATTCCTGTGAACCTCCCCGAGCCAACAGTGTCTGCAGATTCTTGGAGATCACGGCCAACGACTCCTCGAGCTTGTCCACTCGAGCATCCAGCAGTTGAGATCCAGACCCTTCTTGGGGGGCAGCCGGCTCGCCTTCTGCTGTGAAGAAGGCGAAGTGCTCGTGAGCTACGTCCACAAGCGCCTGAGCTGCCGGATAGAGCCCCAGCACACCATCGGGAGAGAATGTGTGAGTGTGCTCGTCGGCCTCCTCGTCCTCCTCCGGGAAGCGGACCTGGTCGACCAGATCTGTGCGAAGGAAGCCAAGCCAAACTTTCATTGTGTCTTGTTCCAGGAGAGCCATCCGGTCGTCTGGCTCCGCCACAGCCACCTCTGCCAGTGTCGCTTTCGAGAGGCCTTGAGGTGGCAGAATTCGTTGTGCTTTCAAACGATGCCATGCAGTCTGAGGAAGAGCCACTAAAGTCTTTCCCTCAAGCAAAGAAATGAAGATCACTTGAATTGAAAGGGTATCGTGCAATTCGAGCAAACCAACAGGATAGTTGAAATCAGTCCTGCCGTCTAATGTCACATAGGGCGGGGACAGCTCTTCGTCTGCAACCGCCGACTCGCCTTCTCCAGCGTCACTCATGCCTCAACGAGGCCCTGCCAAGAGAACCGCCCGGCCTCCAAAGCCGTGCGAACGTCCTCCAAGGCTGGGAGCCCCACGAAGACCGAATCGCCACACTCTGAGCCTCTCTTGACTAAATCCTTAGCTAAGCCCCACTTGGAGAAAACCCGCACCGGATCGTAGATGGCCGAGTTGAAATCCTTGACCACAATCCAGTACTTGGAAGCTTGCTGAATGCGAGATCGGCCTGACTCGCCCCGAGGCAGCCCGTCCAGAGCGCGCCTCAAAAACAAGCCCACCTGTCGAGCCGCTGCACGGCGACCCTCAGCCGACTGATCTACTGCAGTCGGAAACTCCTGGCCTAATCCACCGGCTTGTGAAGGCCGAGGCACGGACAAATGAGGCGCTTCGCTGTCACGAAGCTCGGCAAGCAAAGTAAAACTACCCTCTCCACTCTCTGCCCGATCTTCCAACCCTCGAACGGCTTCCCTAAGATCTGCCAGCTGGTTTCTTGTGGCAGTCAAAAGGCTTTGGACTCCTTGCAGCTCTCCCCGGAGCTGGTCAACCTTTTCCTCCAACCTAACGAACTCTGTCAAGGAAGGAGAGTTGCTGGGCATCAACACAACTTGTAAAGGGGCCTAGTGTTGCCACCCGACGAAGCCCTGGCAGCCAAGGTTCCCACCAACCAAGCTCGCAGAGCCAGAAAAATCTCTAGCAATGGGAGCAGTACCAATCCAGCGAGCAGACCTAGGAAGAAAGACCAAGGCTCAAGATGCCACGCAGCGACGGCACAATATGGCGTCGAGGGACCTAACTCGCGCTCAAGCGAGGACAATGCCAGGGCCGTCCCGGCAAACGCTCGGGCCAAGTCCATTCTTGGCCGCCGAACTTCTGAGGACATGTGGTTCATATATTTTATATATATATATAATGCACACATTGACAAATTGACCCCCTTTTCAAGGTGGTCGGGAATATGCTGGTTGGTAAGATGCCATGGAGGATCGGGAAACGCAGGTGGTCGAGTCTGATTGCACCAAGAACTGAAATGGGAACCCCATGATCTAGCCTTAGACCTCTGGTGAGGGCTCCTTCCTTTGACAAGGGGAGTCTTGTGGCTAGAGTTGGATTCACAAAGCATGATCGGCATGATCTTCTCATTGGTTCAGCAGCTTGCGGGTTTACTTGGGGGGACTCAAAAGCTCATTGAGTAAGGAGCTGCTCCATGGCGACAGCAGCTTGTGAGCTCGGCTCCTGATAGGCGGCATCCCGCAATCCAGGGCCCGACCATTGGATCAGCCAATCCCGGCCCCCGGTGGGCGCCATACCGTTGCTCAGCAGCGTCTCGCGCACCACCATGGCGTCCGTATTTTCGATGCCTTAGGTGAAAATCCCCCAAGGCCACGATGGTGTCACTTTCTGGTGTCGCAACAGGTACAGTCACTTCCCAGAGTGAGAGTTTGAGCAGCCCATGCTAGGCTATCCCATATATGTACCTCTCTAGTGCTACTTTGTCCCATCAGGTCTACGCTGCCGGCGTAGACGGCGTCGGATTCGTCGAAGTCGGTGACCAGAAATGCTCGAGTTGGTTTTACGCCACCAGTTCTGAATGGGTGTATAATATACACACCACTATACACACCCTAGGCCTCCAAGTACCTTCTGAGAAGGTGGGACTGGGGTGGGTGCCAGGAGGGTCCAGTCATACCTTCTGAGGTACTTGGAGGTGTAGGGGCACTTTAGACGTGTATAGTATGGATCGCAACGGGAGCCTTCAAATCGCTCAAAAAGCAAAATCAAGAACCGCCTGGGTGGCCACAAC